GATTCTCCATGTATGTCATGTCGTTGTTGTTTGACTATTGTTTCAGCATATTTTGTTGAAGTTTATATAAGCTCTGAAGCTAACGAAGATGATGTCAGATCAGACTCACCATGGTGTACCATAAATCGTTATTCCGAACAATTCTATCACTGAATCCTCGAGGTAGATACAATTTGTGAGAAGGGTTTTCGAATTAACTACTTTCGATGATGCCATGGATGCTTGTAAAGCTTGCTTCAATGCCATCTCCTTAGCTTGAAGCTCCCGATCTGAAAAATTATTAATTAGTTCGAATATGTCGATGATAGACTTCTTTGGAACCCCTCCGTGATTTCTTGTGTTGCAAGGTGGCACTTGTTTATGACTATTGGGATAGAATTGGTTTTTAGGCGACGAGTGGCTTCCTTGTGATGATGTGAGCTTGTATAAACAAGAATCTAGTGGGGCTCGATCTATCAACCAAATGTGCGGTAGCTGCGCCTCTCAAAACTGCTCTATTTCCGCCCAAGATTGACTACAATCGCTAACAAACTCACTTGATGCCCGTAGGAATGTATCGTCAAATGTGCATTCGTGATTACCGGCGATGACGACTTTGTAAGGATGTCTTAAATGTCCTGTAAATAGACCATTATATCTCACTTGATCAATGTTACTCGACCTTCATTGCCTACGCTCAGGCTCTATGATAGATGACAGAGAGCGATCCCGTGAACAGCCGCCGCCGGAACCGGCGAAGGGTTCAGCCACAGGCGCGTCTCTCCATGATCCAACTCAACAGCGCAACGTACCAAGTTTCTTGTTGAAAGAGAGTACTTCATTCGGTAAACCACATGAAGTGAAGTCTCCAGCGACAAGCAGTACATCCCCAGGTGGGAGATTGGCTGGATCGATTTTTACACCGTGCGTACAACCGATACATACAAATCGGACGTGATCTGGTCGGACAGGAGTGTCCAACTTCATCTGAAATCGTCTTGGAATTGAGTGGGAACAGCACCCTG